GCTGCAGGTGGTGGCTACCCTGCAGAACCAGACTTCAATGCAGGTGAGAGCCTCCCCAACCCCTCCTCCATCCCTCTTCCTCTGCTTAGCCCCATCTCCTGAAGCCTTGGACAGAGGAGTCAATGACTTTGACTTTTGAATTGAACTCTGGGATTTCTGCCCAGCATGGGAGTGGGCGTAGGAGGGAGATAGTTATCTTCACTGTCATAGATGTCATCTCCTTGGAGCTCTCCTGTGGCTCTCCTCATTGGGGGCGCCTGGTGTCTTTGGGGATCGATAATGGTGGGATTGAGTTGGGGAGAGGTGTGGGCCAGGCTTAGCTGAGGCCTTAGCACGTGGTGGCTGGCTGTGGGGTCGCTCGGCCCACCTAGGCCGCATCAGAGAGGTGTCTCCCTGATACTAGGGCCGGGCCGGGGTTCGCCACCATCTGCACCCGTATCTCCTTCCTCCCTAGCCCCTGACTCTGCGGCGTCTAGAGCACGAGAAGAAAAGGAAGGAGATCAAGGACCAGTGGCACCGGGTGCAGAGGAAGCTGGTAGGGGAGAATCTCCGTGCCTCGTCCATATGGGCAGGGAGGGTCCAGGGGCCGGCAGATCAGAGGAGGTCAGGACTTCCAGGGGCTCAGTCGACCCTCTCCTTCTACAGAGGAGGATTGTGAGGTTCACAGAGGAGGAGGGATTTGTTCAAAGCCGCTCACTGAATCAGCGGCAGAGTCGGGAATGTGGCCCAGGGCTCTTGCTGCTGGTCTGGGGTCCTTCCGTCACCCCACACAGCACGGTGAAGCCAGTTTTGTGTCAGGACGTGGTCTGGAGGCATTCCCGCCGAGGTTAGGAGCTCAGTGAAGGGTGGCCCATGTTAGCTCCCAGGCTTCTTCCTCTTCTGAGATTTTAGGAATCTTGAGTTTTTTAGTGCCCACTTTTTGCTCAGGCCCAGGCAGCCTCGTGTCTCTTGTGCCTTTGGCAGGCGCTAGCGGGAGGCTGGCAGAGAGGGGTCCTCTCACTCCTGGCCCGGAGTCTGGCCTGGGCCCCACCTCCCCTCCAGCTCTCTCCCCTCCCTCCTTAGCAAGAAGCAGAGACCAACCTTCGAAAGGCAAAGCAGAGCTACATGCAGCGCTGCGAAGACTACGAGAAGGCCCAGTACCTGACCGTAAAGGCCGAGGAGGAGCAGGCTGGGGGCGGTGGGGCCAGTGCAGGGGCTGGGACCAGTAGTGCTGCCACCAAGGCCCTGGCCAAAAAGAGGCGGCTGGAGGAAGAGGCCAAGAACAAGGTGAGGAGAGGAGACGCTGGCTGGGCTGGCTGGCTGGGGCCAGGAAAGTAGAGGAGCAGGAGCAAGGGAAGGGAGGCTGCTCTGCTCACATGCCTCTCCCTCCTCCCCTTCCCCTTCAGGCCACTAGACAGCCAGAGGGACCAGGAGGGTTGAGCCTGGAGAAGAGAAGACTTGGGGGGGAAGTGGTGCTGGGGAGGGAGCATGGATCCCAAGATGGAGAGCTGGGAGGGGTCAGAGCATTGTGCAGATGGGGAAGCTGAGGCTGCAGGGCGAAGCTGCGAGCAGTGGATGGAAGGATGAGACCTTCAGCAGTCTATCAGCAAGCGCTGATTGAGCAGCTGCGGCGTTCCAGGCATTGTGCTCGTTGCTTGTCAGTGAGACCCGAGTTCAGATTCCTGCCTCAGAAGCTTGCGTGACTCTGGGTTTCCCCTTAATGATAGTAACACATATTTTATAGTATTTGGCTGAGTTGTTAAAGGGGTGGACCAGATCTGTGTCCATGTGGTTTCCCAGCACGGGTTTGAGCCCTCCCCGCCGTGCTTCTGTCTTTGAGAGGCACCATGGCATAGTGGATAGCAGAAGTCGGGAAGATCTCGGTTTGAATCTCATATCAGACACTAGCTGTGCGACCTGGGCAAATCACTCAGCCTCTCTGGGCCTCAGTTTCCTCCCCTGTAAAATGAGGGGGTTGACATCCAAAGTTCCTTCCAACTCTGAATCAGTCTCTCCCTGGGAAAAGTTGTGTATGGGTGTGCCTGGTGAGTCGACCCTGAAAGGGCTTCTCTGAGGACTCCCAGGTGTCCTGGGGCCGGCAGTGTCTGAGGCCCCTGTGGGATTTGTGGGGGTCCCCGACGAGCAGTGGCTCATGCATCTCCCTGCCCCAGGCAGAAGAGGCCATGGCCACGTACCGCACCTGCATTGCTGATGCCAAGACGCAGAAGCAGGAGCTGGAGGACGTGAAGGTGAACGCTTTGCGCCAGATCCAGGAGGTCATAAAGCAGAGTGACCAGATTATCAAGTCGGTGAGCCCCCACGAGCACTGGCCGGGCCCTCCGGGGTAGGGGCTGCGGTGGGATGGGGACCAAGGAAGGAGGGGTGGGCCGCGCTGGGCTGGGGCCGGGGCCGAGGGTGCAGAGTCAGAGCGGTGCAGCCGAGAAGGAAGAGGACGCCGGGCACGGGGGCGGAAGGGTCCTTGTGCAGAAGCTGTCAGACGAAGGCACGTGGAGCTCAGCCAGTAGCTGAGCGTTCAGTCTGGCCAGAACATCGAATGTGGAGCTGAAAAGGCCATTGGGAGGAGGTGGAGAAGGGCTTCACATGCCAGGCAGAGAAGTGTTCATTTTGTTTCAGCAGCAGTAGGGAGCCCCTGATGCTTCTTGTGTAGGGGAGTGACTGATTCGATGGCTCGCTTTGGGTCAGTTCCATCAGTGACTGGGTGGCAGATGGCTGGAGAAGGGAGACGATTAGGAGGCTGTTGTGATAGGCCCGGTGAACCGGGCCGGGGCCACGGCCGGGGTAGAAGTGGCCTGACTTGGCGGTAGATTAGACGTGCGTGTGTGTGTCTGTGTCCGTGTCTGTGTGTGTGCTGGCAGACTTAGGAAGGTCCTGGGGAGTTCAGCTTTGACCGTGGTGAGTTTGAGGGGCTGGTAAAACATCCCCGGGGGGTGCTTAGCAGGCAGCTGGAGATGCAGGATTGAGGTTCAGGGAAGAGATTAGGGTTGAATCAAGAAATTTAGACTCCTCTGCATTATTTGTGATCATTCAACCTTTGAGAAGGTATAAAGAGGGAAAAGAAGAGGCTGAGGACACAGGCTTGGGTCACATGAAGGCCAGGAGATAGGAAGACGCTGGGAGGCCAAAGGGAAGACCTGGGTGATCTGGGATGCTCAAGGAGGTCTGTTAGTGTTGGCGCATGTTGGCTACACGTGTGTGCGTGTGTATGTGTCTGTGTGTGTCTCCAGTCTCTCTGTCTTTCCAGTCTCTGAGCGTCTCTGGGTTTCTGGGTCTCTGTGTCTGAGCATCCCTATCGATACAGCTCCCTGAGGATGGGGCCTGTCTTTTCTTCTGTTTCTATGTCCCCTGTGTTTACAGAATGCTTTGCACGTAGTAAGTGTCTCGTAAATGTTTTTTGTTCGTTCTCTCAGTTCTTTTTTAATGTTTGATCTTCCTGTCTCCAGCTCAGCCCTACCCCAGGGCTTCGCATCTAGACGCTTAATAAATTATCAGGCACTTAACGAAGGTGCCTGGGCATGTGCTGTTTGTGCGTCTCTCCATGGCTGTCTGGTCCCTGTGTCCGTTCTAATCCAATGTCTGCATGTAGGCTTTGGAGGGAACAGGACTGAGCCCGAGTACCCAGAGCCACCTTCCTAACCTCTCCCCATCCCTGGACCCCGCAGGCCACCATCTCCTACTACCAAACCATGCACATGCAGACGGCCCCGTTACCGGTCTACTTCCAGACCATGTGTGAGAGCAGCAAGCTGTATGACCCGGGGCAGCAGTACGCCTCCCACGTGCGGCAGCTTCAGCGGGACGTCGAGCCGGACACACAGTACGACTTTGAGCCCTACGTGTCCCACAACACCTGGTACGGCCTGGTCTATCCCCCGGAGCCTGCGTCCCTGCCCGGCTGGGTCTGCAGTTAGGGCCTCCCCTCCTCCTCAAGTTTATGGGATCAGGCACTGCTTGGGAACCCAAGTGTCCAGGTCTCCTAATAACAGATGTCCACCTTTCTGATTCGTAACCCAGGCCTCACGTTTGACGTGGCTCCTGATTTCTAGGTTTAGGCTGGGGAGTAAGGGCAGAAGGAATGTCTGCTAAAAGTATCTCAATACTGCCTGGAGTAGCAAAAGGCTGGAAACAGTTTATGTGCCTATCCATTGCAGAATGGCTGAACAAATTGTGGTACGGGATTGCAGTCTTTATCTTCCATAATATAGCTTGTTAGCCAGCGTTTCTGTAGTGTTTTAAGTATTTTATATACATTAGTTCATTTGACCCTCACAAAAATGTTCAGAGGTAGATGCTGTTATTCTCTCCATTTTACAGATGAGGCTGAGAGAGGTTTTTAAGTGACTTGTTAGCCCAGGGTCACACTGCTAGTGAGCAGGATTCACACTCAGGTCTTCCTGACTCCAGTTTGCCATGATACCTAGCGGGGTGTCATGCTCCAGAAGAGCAAGGACATCCAGGCTGCGAGAGTAACGTCTGGCTCCTGGCAGGAGTGAGGGCGCCCAGGAGAGCAGATTGGGCTCACGGCCATTGAGTTTGTTTTTTTAGCAAACATTAAATAAACGTGGTGGTAAATTTGGAGGCATTTGGAATACCCATGTCCACCCCTCTCCACTCACTTGAGATAGCCCTGTCCTAAGCCCAGGACAGTTCCTAAAATGGCCCCTGCCCCTTCCTCCCAGCAATCTGTTATTTATTTATTTATCTATGTATTCATTCATTCATTCATTCATTCATTTATTTATTTATTGAATTCACACAACTCTTTTTATTTTATTTTTTTTATTAATTTATTTTGATTTATCAACAATCACTTCCATAAGCATTTTTTTTTAAGGCAGTTGGGGTTAAGTGACTTGCTCAGGGTCACACAGCTAGTAAGTGTCAAGTGTTTGGTCTGAGGC